TGGGTGGGTGGGTGGGTGGGTCAGTTTGGAGTTTCCATCATCTGCGTAGCACAAACACTCAAGGAGCAATTTTGTTTGATGCATTGTTAAAATAATACATACATACATACAGTATGCAAATGTCATCCCATTAAATGTCTCTCAGAGTTTCCACATCATAGACATGTAAATCCTATCCCCCTCACCCACCCTTGCTTACATGCCTGTAATATCAGCCAGCCATCCCCATGTTCAATAATTTACCAGGGGACTGTGGTAAGCCACGGACAGGAAATGTCAGTACTGCAAAACAGCAAAAAACATCTCACTGGTAAAACCCAACAGATAATACATGCATGAAAAGTCCAGATGAGAATAAAATGACCCAAGGGAGAAAAGGGACATTTGTTAATTTGGTGCTCCTGAAGAAATCCCTTAAATGGTGCTTTCAGACAGGAATAGACTGTGCTATATTTCCATTCAGAGGAAATACTGATACCAATGTGTTCTTAAAGGATACTACTGAAATTATTTTATCATGGCATTATAGAGAAACATTTCCTGAACAAAATGCATGTTATCACCGTGTACAAAAAAAGCCCTTTTGGACATTCTTGTAGCAGTGTTGGTGACTACAGTGTAATCATAACCAATAGGAATTAGCACTAAATCTAAGGAAATAAATCTGTTTAAAACAAACCATTAAACTATTATTTGATTTACCAAAAATGTATCATTGATGGACAACATCTGCTTTAGACTTTTCACATGTGAACACACTGTGTCTATCAGATACCTAGACCTATTTACAAAATCTGTTTCCATGGAGATGTGACAGTCTGGCTTCCTCTTGTTTAGCTTTATAGAGAACAAATGGTTTAACATGCCCTCTTTCACACTAATCAGAAGTACTGTTAGTTATCTAAAGTGAATAACCTGCTGCTGTACTCGAATAAAGGATGACATGTTGAAAACCAACAGAACTCATCCCATCTGATGAGGACACAATGCTCAAACGGAGATGTTGCCCCTTAGGTTTCCTCCACTGAATGTTGTCTGTGGGAGAGAAATGTAAAAAGAATACTGATTGCCACATGATGGGGTTTAATGATTCCGCTGACATTTTAAATTCATTCATTTTGCAATGAAACTTTTTTTAATCTCACACAGGAGATGTGAAGGGTCATGATGGGCTGTTGTATAAAGTGAAGAAGTTTGTCTCACCGGCTCTGAGCTGTGTCTGTAGTCTGTAGTTTTCCTCTTTGTCTGATGAGGGAGATGGTAATTAGACGTTTGCCAAAATGTGTTCATTTCCCACTGCAAGAGTCCTGGCAGATATACACTGTGACTTAATTGATTTTATTTTTCTATTTCCCCAAAGCCAAAGGCAGTGTCTTTCCAACTGAGTACAGAACATGTAGAGAAATTCCTCTTTTCAAACAGAGAACATTTCCACAAGCTTGATATGTAATTAACCACCAGCAAATAACAGCACGTCTTTAATTAAATTGGCAGATTTTTTTCTCTCACAGTTCAGTGTTGACAAATAGTTTGTTACAACTTAGGTTTTCATAATTCTGATCATCAGTAACTGATTATTTTTGTATCAATTTATCTGACGATTATTTTACGTTAAAGGTCCAGTGTGTAACATTTAGGAAGATCTATTGTCAGAATCATTGTGATTATTCATTAGTGTATAATCACCTGAATATAGGAATCATTGTGTTTTCATTACCTTAGAATTTGCTGTTTTCATTTAGGGAAGGGAAGGGAAGGGACAAACCAAACACTGATATGGGCATCTGTATTTTTGTCACGTTTTGCGCCCACCATAGTTTCTCCTTTGCGTTTTGAAAAGGAGGGTGAAGCGAGGGAGTACCAGAAATTCCAGAAAATAGTGAAAAATGTCCAAGTTGATAATTGTCATTTTGTCAGTCCAAAACCCAAAGATATATAAAACAGAGAAAGGCAAGAAAGCAGCATTTTCTGTGATTTTTGTTTAAAAAATGATCTGAATAAAAAAAGATATATTTTTAATGATTAATTAATTATCAAAATAATTGGCGAGTATGTTTCTGTTGACTGACGAGTAATTGTTGCAGCTCTACGTCAGTAATGACAACATTGTACAACAATGTCTGTTCCCAGATCTCTAAACATTTTCAATAAAATTCATGGCCAAGATACAAACAACAAAACCCTAGCTTTCCTTTAAAGCTGATATTTTTAAATGAAAAACTGGTCAAATGGCTCTGTTCGGTGTACATGATTACAGACTATTTGTTTTCAGGGAAAAAGCTCCAATAAACCCACATTACACTACCTTCTCAGCACCATACAGCAGATAGAGGTGACAACTAGCTGGGGAACACAGTGGAACATGGAGCAGATAAAGAGCCAGATATCTGTCTGGCAGACTAACGATAGTTTTGAGATGGTCACTGTTTCAGGAGATGATAAAATCATACATTCCTGCTGACACATTGCACACATCAGACCTAACCAGATATGGACTTCAGTCTTCACCAACAACCAGTGTTTATTCTAATTTAATTTTACAGTTGCAATGAAAAAAAATTTAACATCATTCCTCTTTCACATCTCCTTCACATCATGTTTACAGCTCTATGCTCCTATGGGCCAACATCGCTGCACTGTAGAAGCTGTCAAACTAGGCAATCTAGCTCTTTTTGTCTGTCAGTTGTCTTCCACTATGACAAACTACATGGGATAAAACAATTCTCACTGTCATCCTCAACACGACACGTCAACAAATGGACTCCTATCAATGTTAAAATTTTCTATGTGTAAATGGCAACTTGGCAATGTTTCTTATCAGTTTCATCTGTATAAAAAAAGCTGTATATAGTGTACATATAACTCTTATTCTATTTTTTCTTTTTTATTATATCTTGTATTTTTCTTTGTGTATTGAATGTGTATTTTCTTATCTTATGCTGTGTTGCATGTGGAGCTGCTGTAGCGAGTACATTTTCCCAGTGTGGGATCAATAATGTCTATCTTATCTTATCTTTGAACCCAACTTCAACATTTCGTGTCACACTGCACTTTTTCTAAAAGAGTATAATAAAGTTGGATCTGTACTAAATAAAAAAAGAGACTCCTTATCATGCGCTAGCTCACCGCGAGTTCTACTGAAATGCATTGGTGACTTTCTTAAAGTTAATTGGCAAAATGATTAGAGTTGAATCACCAGATGAAGAAAGGTAAAGCAGAAAATGATACTAGCTGAAGCCTTTGGGACCCATTATTCGGTGCGCAGTAAGGCTGGGGTCAAAGGTGAACAACTGTGTGTGGCAGAGAAAGAGAAATTAGAGAGGAGATGATGGAACTGAAAGAGCACGACAGCAGTGTAGAGACTGAGAGAACAAGATGGTGAACGTATAGATTCATTTACCTCAGTCAATTTAATTACTGAGTTCTGTGAAGAAAGAGGATCGCTTCAGTTTAATCAGTCAGCACCAAAGTATGAGAGACTTAAGAAAATCCAAGAGCAGAGCTTAACTGTTTTGTTCAGTGAACCACCTGTGATACTTCTTTTACTCGCCATTATGACCCTGCAAAACATTCTCTGTCACTCAGCATACAGAACTTCTTGACGTGTACCTGATTTCCCCACTGTGACGCTTGAAAAGCTTCAAAAGCAGACACGTCGCTCGCAAAAAGTGAATAAATCAGCTGCTCCTCTTGTGATTTCCATGCTCAAAATGTATTCAGCTACTGTTTTTGCGCAGGTCTGCTCCCTGGTTGACTTCCACACATCACTCACCCCCAAGTCAGAGCCGAGCCTCACAGGGAGCACCCTGTGGGGATCAGCCTTTTGAAAATCAAAATGTATTATAACCCATTCTGTTCTCGACTGTTTCATCCCTCCTTGCATATTTTCTTCTCTCTCTCTTTCTCTCTGTTCCCTTAAACTCGTTTGTCTTCCCACACTGCTAAAAATACATTTCACATAAATTTTAGGATATGTTTGAAAGTTTTCAAACAAAACTGGGCCATGAATGTGTTTGTATGTGTGTTGCTTTCATTCGAGAAATGTTTGAAGGTAACAGAAGATAAGATTAACTTTTGTTGATCCCTTTGGGAAGATTAATTAGTTCAACTGAGCAATATTACACATCAGGAAACATCAAGTAAAGCATAAGGTATACTTTAAAGCCTCCTTCCAGTCAGAAATCAGTGTTTCTCCTTGTCCCTACAGTGTGCTGTTTGAATGCTGTATGTGCAGTTTGACTCTAGAATGATGTTTTCACATT